AATGATTGGAAGAGATGATAAAAACTCTCATTTATATCACAAAATTCTTAATCAACATCTCTATTAACCTATCGCCGTCGACGAGTTAGTTCTATGGCCAATCTCCAAACAAATAAAAACAGCAGCCTTCGCACACATTACGCTACACAGCGACAATGTTGCAATTGATATTTAAAAATAATCTTATTATTACAACTCCAAATTTGATACAATCGCTCAAAACATTCAGTAAACCTTCAGAGTGTACAAGGTCTAAATAAAGCATAAGTTGATTTCTTATGAATAATGAAAAGCATTCATCGAATTTTTATGCATTCGATTTGAGTTACAGTAGCAATTTCTTGCGCACATTTCTTCTGATAGCTGCATGTTCACTGTGTGAATATCGGAAATCAAAAGAGTGTGCTGCACGAATGAACTGAATCATATCAATAAGAATCATCAGGTTCAGCATGACGAGTCAAGTTTCCTAGACTTAATTTCTCTGAAATCACGATCAACCATAATTGTTGTCCTGTTGATCGGAGTAATTTAGTCACTTACTTGACTGTCAACAACACAATCAGCCATGTTTGACTAAGAAAATGCACCTTAATTCATAGTTCAATGGTGATTATCTATGGTAATTTTATGCTGCTCGATTAAACTTCGGACCTTTCCGGTNAAGAAGCGAAGTGGCTAGCTGCTGCTGCTCACCTTACCTACAAACCAGCAATAACCGTTAGGTAATACTGTTTTTGCAGTAAGTCGAGAATGTGTTTGTTTGCAGTAATAGTAACCATCAGCATATTTGTTGACCTTGTAAGTGAATGAGTTTATTCATCAGTTATTGAGATGCTCACATTGGTGATTTATTGCCACTGGTCATTGACAAGAACACGTCAAGAAGACAGATGCGATGGTATTTCTGAATGAGTGAAAATAATGCCATGAGAATCGTACAGAGCATTGATACGACGAGTAAGTGACTAGTGCACTAAACAGCGTGTCAGCAATACGTGTTTGCTACGTATCACCAACGATACTGTTTCCATTGAATGTAAGTTTGCATTGCATCTGTCTCTCTCGTGTTTGTTTCTAGTGGTGTTGGCTCGGTCTATTTACGCGAGAATGTTCGTTGATTACTGATAAAAGACAGATGAGCAGCAGAGAGATGATCCGTCATTGTTTAATGTGCTCATAAATAAACAGCACTAGACGCAACGTTTCTGGTCGTTCAACAGTTACCGGTCTTGTTTTTGTTATTATTATTATTATTTGAATGCGATTGTGACTGCTGCTAGCATCGTTAATAAGTTAGCTGTGTTTAAAGTCTGAAAAAAACTTTATTATTATCATCGCATCAACAACATATCCTCCAGGCTGATTTGGATTTTATTCCTCGTCGAGATTGTTAACTGAGAAATGACACCAAAAGCAAATGTTCGTTTGTTTTCAGTTATATGAAATTTTTACTCACTTCTATCACTGATGTTTGTTCAACATTCCAGTTGTTGTGAGACTGTTTTAGGTTTGCTGAATGCTTCACTTAACGATTATTACAACAGAAATTGGTGTTTGTAATGTTGCTGACAATGAACACTCTCNCTGAATGCTTCACTTAACGATTATTACAACAGAAATTGGTGTTTGTAATGTTGCTGACAATGAACACTCTCGAGTGTCGGATTGATTTCTCTATATTGAGTGCAGTGAATTGCCTGCATATCCAAAACTTGTTCTAGAATTGTCTGGGTATCCGCATATTCAATGAGCAATGCGCATCTGATTATTTAAAATTGATTTGATGCACTGCAACTTCGAAATGGATTTGTAGTAGTTTTGTTTTTTGGAGTTGAAAAAGCGAACGTCTCTTGAACGAATAATGTGATTTATTTACTTTGCCAAAGGTTCTCTGATTTAAGTCAGTCATTGTTTTATTCCGCCTGTGTAGATGAACAGAAGTGATTCATTAATGCAGTAAAATTCTTTACTGTAAGTGAGAGGGAGCAAATGTTCTGCGGTGGTTTTTTGATGTTGTCTTGTGCTTTGTTCGACGTCATGAATTCGAGTAAATTAATTCAGTGCATTCATCTCGGAGATTCTACATCAAAAAGCTGTGTGTAAAAACGTGTGACAGTGGATCTTTGGAAGAGTTTCAGTTGTTTTTAGGAAATGTTTCCGCTATTGAAAATGAGGGTAAGATGAAAGAAACAGACTGAAGACTCACTCCACCTTGGTTCTACTCGATCCTATATTTGAAGCATAATTCAGACTTTCGGGAGTAATTGAAGCAATGATTTGATTGAGTTTCATCACCATTCATCATTTATGGTGCGGGTGGAACTTGCAAGCTTGAGAAACTTAGTTGCTGAATCGAAGAAGTGGATAGTGAACATTTTTGTGCTCTTGTACTCAGTCTTTTTCCAAGTTGTGAACAACTTCTTGAGCTTTATTGCATCTACTAACGTTTGC